TACGCCATGCTCAACCCTCCTGCCGGACATTGTGGGTGGGACAGGAAGTACAAAAGGCATACTGGAGAACTCAGTTGGGGCCCAGCTGCCGGAGGAGCCAGACGTCTCCTGCGAGCTCCTGAGCCTGGAGGCTGCCGCAGACCCCGAGGAAGCTGAGGACTGGCCAGGACCACGAGGGGCATTTACAGACCGGAACACGGAGGAGCTGCCAGCCCTGGCAGAGGCCCTCTTCCCGGACGACCCTCTACAGAGCCAGGTATGCCCTGAAGGGGGTCTGAAGTGGCCCAGGGGTAGCAGACCTCTGTCTGGCTGCAACGCTGCCAGCGAGTGAGTCAGCGTGTTGCGGTCAGGATCCCTGCTGACCCAGTGGCAGACCTCTCTGCCACTGCTAGGGCCCTGGGCCAGGACACAGTGCAGTGGGTGGGCCTGTGTCCCCCCCCCCGCCACCCCAACCCGTGGGTGGCAGTCTCCCCCTCTCTTAGGCAAGAAGCTGCGCTTGTCGGCTCTCCGCCAGAGCTAGAAGGCCCAACTGTTTTGTGGCTTAGCCTGAGTGCAGGCCTGAGCCCTCAGACTCTCTACTGCCCCGCCCTGTCCCAGGGGCTGGGCTCTGTAACTGTGTTTGTCGTTCAGCCCTGATCACAGACCCACGCTCACATCTCCCATCATCCCGCTGATTCCCCACGCCAGGAAACCTCCCAGAGATGTAGTGAGGCGGATTGGCTGCCCACAGACATGGAGGGGGAGGGGCCATTCTCCCCAAGAGACTACAGGCGGGAAGCAGAGACTGCCTCTGAGATGACTGGCTCAAACCAGTTGGAATTGGAACTTTCACGCCACAGAGGCTATAAAAGGACTGTGCACCCTGTCCGTTGGGCTGTCCATCAGAGAGGCAGCCAGTAACTGTCACTTTGCGTGAGTGTCACAGGATTCCTTCACCGACCACCTGATCCATATCATCCATCGAGACATCTAACATCTGAGTCTACTTACCGGTTCCTGGTTCCAGTGACTTGCCTATATCATCAGTTCCTGGTTCCAGCTGTAAAGGTCCTGTTTTCCTTCTGTCCACAGCAGCTGCTGGAAGGCAGTTGCAGGTCCAGGCTCCAATGCACCCTAGCAGCAAAAGGACAGACAGTTAGTTACCATCAGCAGCTGTGTTCATATCCAGTTAATCTGTTCATCTCACAAAGGTCCAGAGGAGACCTACGAGTACAGTTTTAGAGTTTTAGGGTTTTACTTTGTATTTGCCAAGGATCGTTTCGGGACCGGGCTTCAGGCCCATTCTGGGGCAACCACAAAGTTGTTTTACTGTTTATCTGCTTTTCCACCCCCTCCCTTATATTGTTAATATTCCCTCAATAAACCCAAGTTTTGTTTTTGAAGTACATCATTCTGTCTAGTCTTCTGTTACTTATCTGGTGGGCTGTGGAAGGATTATTGGTTACTTACTCCCCAGGTGATAGAGAGACTGGTTTGCCAGTCCAAGAACCTGGCCCTGTTACTGCAGAACACATAACATTTCTATTAATAAAATGATAGACTTTATATGAGCTTATATTGCCCAGGAGAAGGCCGGGCAGTATAAGACACATTTCTGGGGAAAAATCTGGGACTGGGAGTGTGCTGGTGTCACCCTGCAACATATATTTCAGGCTCGTAAAAGCCTGGGTGTGACTGGCTTGTTGCAAGTGCAAACTGACATAGCTGGGAGTGACTTGCATGTTTGAGGCTGTTTGTGAGCAGTCCGTGCATGGAAGCAACAACAGCAATGCAGTGTAAAGGGCATCCCTGGTTAGAGGAAGGGGTGACAGAGGTGGCAAAATTTGCAGATGATATAAAATTACTAAGGATAGTTAAGACCCAGGCAGACTGCGAAGTGCTACAAAAGGATCTCTCAAAACTGGGTGACCGGGCAACAAAATGGCAGATGAAATTTAATGTTGATAAATGCAAAGTAATGCACATTGGAAAGCATAATCCCAACTATACATATAAAATGATGGGGTCTAAATTAGCTGTTACCACTCAAGAAAAAGATCTTGGAGTCATTGTGGATAGTTCTCTGAAAACATCCACTCAATGTGCAGCGGCAGTCAAAAAAGCAAACAGAATGCTGGGAATAATTAAGAAAGGGATAGATAATAGGACAGAAAATATCATTTTGCCTCTATATAAATCCATGGTATGCCCACATCTTGAATACTGTGTGCAGATGTGGTTGCCCCATCTCAGAAAATATGTATTGGAATTGGAAGGTTCAGAAAAGGGCAACAAAAATGATTAGGGGTATGGAATGGCTTCTGTATGAGGAGAGATTAATAAGACTGGGACTTTTCAGCTTGGAAAAGGGACGGCTAAGGGGAGATATGATTAATCAGGACTATAAAATCATGACTGGTGTAGAGACAGTAGATAAGGAAGTGTTGTTTACTACTTCTCATAACACAAGAACTAGGGGTCACCAAATGAACTTAATAGGCAGCAGTTTTAAAACAAATAAAAGGAAATATTTCTTCACACAATGCAGTCAACCTGTGGAACTCTTTGCCAGAGGATGTTGTGAAGGCCAAGACAATAACAGGGTTCAAAAAAGAACTAGATAAATTCATGGAGGATAGGTCCATCAATGGCTATTAGCCAGGATGGGCAGGAAAGGTGTCCCTAGCCTCTGTTTGCCAGAAGCTGGGAATGAGTGATAGGGGATGGATCACTTGATGATTACCTGTTCTGTTCATTCCCTCTAGGGCACCTGGCACTGGCCACTGTCGGAAGACAGGATATTGGGCTAGATGGACCTCTGGTCTGACCCAGTAGGGCCATTCTTATGTTCTTATCCACTTTCTCCCTAATATTCTGCGCCCAACATGGCTACATCAACTGCAAACATACCCTAATCTCTTGCATTCCTACAGTCTGTGGAGAGCATGGTTCTTTGTCCTGTGACCCTCCCCAATGTCCTCTTCCAGAAAATTAATCTGCAGTCCAGCAAGCTGCCTATGGGGCATAAAGGTGTCCCTGACTCCAGTAAATCCTCCTCCATGGAGCATAACAGGAGACACTGTCAGAGACAGGGCCGGATTAACTCTCCTGTGGGCCTGGGGCTATTAGATTTTGTGGGGCCCCTGTAAACAAGTCTTTTTCCTAATTTAAAACAAAATGATCACTATTATGGAATTGAGGCTATTAACACTATACTAAACTTGCCTTTTAATTAACAAAAAGCCATTCTGTGGTTAGATTTTAGTCATAAAACATGTAGAATATAGTTGTTAATTCAAAATAGCCTACTTCTTACCTTAGAACAGCTGTTATATTCGTTTCTTTCTGGGAGGAAGTTTGGTGCAGGAGGGGATTCTGACTTGGGGCAGGTGGTTGGGGTGCAGCAGGTGGTGTGAGGTGCAGGCTTTGGCTGGGAGGCGCTTACCACAGGCGGCTCCCAGCCAGTGGTGCAGCAGGGCTCAGGCAGGCTGCCTGCCTGCATGTCATGGCCCCACGCCGCTCCCGGAAGTGGCTGGCTGCTGTCACATCTCTGCGCGCCCCTGGGCATAAGCACTCGACGTCCCCGCAGCCCCTGGCCCCGCCCCCACCCCACCCCTTCCATGAGGCCCCACCCCTGCCCTGCCTCTTTCCACCCCTTCCCCACCCCCATTCCAACCCCTTTCCCAAAGTCCCCGCCCCTACTCGGCCCCCTGTCTGCCAATATTCCAACTCCTTCCCCAAATCCCCACCCCAGCCCCACCTCCTCCCCTGAGTGTGCCACGTTCCCGCTCCTCCCCACCACCCTGGAGCGTGCTAACACTGCCAAACAAGTGTTTGGTGCTGGCTGGGTGGGAAATGCTGGGAGGTAGGTGGAGGAGCGGGGACGTGGCGCAGTCAGGAGAGGAGGAGGAGGTGGGGTAGGGGGTGATGGGAGGTTGGCTGCCGGTGGGTGCAGAGCACCCACTGATTTTTCCCTGTGGGTGCTCCAGCCCTGGAGCACTGATGGAGTCGACTCCTATACCCCTGGGGGGAGGGGGACAGCGTGTCTCTGTGCGCTGCTTGAGCCTGCAAGAGCTGCCCCCGCAGCCGCATTGGTTCCCGGCCCATGAGAGCTGCGGGGACAGTGCTGGGGACAGGGAGCTGCCTCCCGCCACCCCCAGGGGCCGCAGAGACGTGCCAGCGGCCAGCCTCTTCTGGGAGTGGCGTGAGGCCATGGAATGCGGGCAGCCAGCCTGAGCACTGCTGCGCCGCTGGACTTTTAGTGTCCCGGAGATCACAATAGTCTGGCAGAGGCTCCAGGATCAACCAGTTGAGTGCGATTGACGGGTTGGTGACCACTGAATTGTATATAATTATGGATTTATTTTTGCAGGTGTTCTAAGGTAAGAAGTAGGCCTTAGCCCGAGGCCCTGGCTACAGCCCCTAAAGCCCCTGCATTAATCTGGCCCTGGTCAGAGAGCAACAGCACTGTGACACTCATCCCAGACACTGTGACACTCATCTGACCAGGATGCAACGCTCGCTAGTGACAGCTGTCCCTGCAGGTGGGGCTGTCTCTCCCTCTGAAGGGGCTGAGTGCAGGAGGAGACGCCTCGTCTCAGAGACCAGCAGGAGGACAACATGCCACAGGCGGCTGCCAATGCCCAGAAGAGACACTTTAGTCAGGAAATGGAGATTATGGGTCAGCTGGTGTAATCTGGTATAACTCCATTGCTATGGTTTACACCAAACCCGGAGCTGGCCCGGAGCGTTCAGAGGGACGCTGGGGATTCCACAGACCACACTACCTGGCGAAGCAGCCGGCGGCTGCCGATTGGCGGCTGCTGCTCCCTGTCGAACCCACCACCCGCCCCACATGCTAAGCACCGCCCCCGCCCGCTGTCACGAGCACTTCCCCGCCCCGCCCGCGCGGTCGCCCTGTGGCGCTCGGACGCCGATTGGTTCGGAACACGATGGGCAGAGATCAGCCCAGCGCGTGGAGGCGGGACTAGCTGTCCCCTCCGGGCTGGGAGGCGAGGCAGGGCGAGGCGCCGGGGCAGCTCTTGTAGGCGCAGTAGAGCGGTTGGTGCTCCTGTTACGTGTAATTGCTCACCCTGCAACTGAGGCGAGATGCTGCGCCTGCTGGATGTCGGCGGGTTCGTGTTGGAGCGGGTGGCCACGGGCAGCCCCCTCTCCATGGTGCTGGTTGCCTCCGCCTTCGTGCTGAGCCTGGGCTACCTGCTGCAGCTGGGTTTCCGGCGCCAGCCCCGGCCCGGCGAGGGGGTAGGTCCCGGGGCGGAGGAGAGGGGCCGGTAGGGTGGGGGCTGAGATGGCGGGGCCGGGAGGAGGTGTGGTGTGGTGTGCAGAGGCATTATGTGGTCGTGGGGACCCCTCGGCTGTGGGAGGGGCCGCTGCCCCAGAGCCGGCGTGGCGAGGGGAGGGGGGCACCCAGCAGCAGGCTGAGCACTGGGGGGCAGAGGAAGAGGACGCCCGTTACCTTGCTCGGAGGGGAATGCTCAGCGAAACCCGCAGCGTTAAGGGGGTATCTGAGAAGAGCCTGTTGTCCTCAGCGTCCTCTGCCCCACCTAACCCTGGGGTGCCTGGGTCCACCTTGGAGCCCAAAGCCTCGTGTGGCAAGGATGCACTTAACTCCTTCTGGCTGGAGAAACCTATGTGTGCCCCTTCTGGGCAGAGAGCTGCCCCCAGGGAAGAGCTGACAGAGTCTGACTGTATGGGCAGGGCCGGCGCTTCCATTTAGGTGACCTAGGCGGTTGCCTAGGACACCAGGATTTGGGGGGGGCGGCATTTTGCTGCCCTCAGCGGCAATTCTGCAGCGGGGGGTCCTTCCGCGCTCCAGGTCTTCGGTGGCAGTTCTGTGGTGGGTCCTTCTCTCGCTCTGGGACCCGCCGCCAAAGTGCCCCGAAGACCGGGAGCGCGGAAGGACCCCCACCTAGGGCGCCAAAAACCCTGGCGCCGCTCCGGTGTATGGGTGAGGATTTGTGAAGGAATATTGTATTGGGCTTTGTTTCCAGAGAGTGACAAGCTGCACACCCTCTGGAACAGTTCCATTGGATGGGGGCACTGCCCTACCTATTGCGCAGAAGAAAGGTTTCTTTGCCTCCAAGTAGGACTGACTTTTTGGAACAAGCTTTTTAAAATGCACTTACGTGCATGGCCGTCCTTAGGATTTATGGGGCCCTACGCAGTATTATTAAACTAGCGCCCCTATGCTTGACTTTCTCTTAGCAACACAAACATAAGCTTACAGTATTGGAAAACTTGCCACGTGCACTTTATTAAGAACATCTTAATTTTGCCACCTTCACCGCCAACCTCTGCACAGTGCTGCCTTCACTCTAGGTCCTGCATTTCTCGCCTACCTGTGCCCCCAACCCCAGCCCTGCCAGTGTGACCTGCCACACCAACCCCCTGCCCAGTACCCCCATATGTCCAGCAACTCCCATGCCCAGTGGCCCCTCACCCAGAGATCTCCACCATAGATCCCTATGCCCAGCAATCTCCCACCCACAGACCCCTGCCCAGTGCCCCTCTCACAGCCCCCCCCCACTGCCCAGCACCCCATATTCCTTAGGGATTTCAGCACCAAAAAATTAAATTCTGTGCACAATATTTTAAAATTCTGCAAATGTTGTCAATAAGTAAATGTGGAGGCTCCAGCATGGCAGTAGCAAGCATAGGCCACTGGCTGTGCGTAGGTGGGAGATCATGCTGCAGCCTTCCCTTCCCTCCTAGGATAGGGACTTGGCAGTGAGGTACCTCTGTGTGCATGTCAAAAAGCCACAGGGAAGCATTTTACATGATGGCTGGGATGTCAGCCATGACCCCAAATCCTTTTGAATGATAAAAAAGAAATAGCTGATACCAATGGCTGAGTCCAGCCCTCATCCAGGCCCTTGCCTGTCACCGCTCTGGGCCATCAACTCCCAAATGGCCTTTCATTCTCCCTAAAATAGAGCCTCATTGCAGCCTTATCTATTATCCAGCACGCTTCATATCTTTCCATTTACCGTATCTTTCTATTCTAGTCTCACTAACCAGTCTCCAGAAGTATTTATTTGAATCTTTCCTATCTTTGGTTAATAACAATCTCTTATCCAAAGCTGTAGGTGCCATAAAATGAGTAATGTTATGATTATTTATCCATATACGTTCTCGGTCAGTGTGAGTTGTTTAATCCAATTAGTCACATAATGAATCATGAAATAAGTCAGCAGTCCTAATGCAGTATTTAATTCTTTTTTGAAGCAATCTAAATGTTAAATGAATATTCTCTTGCAGAAATACCCACCTTATATTTCGTCTAATATCCCTTTTCTTGGACATGCAGTAGCATTTGGAAAAAGTCCTATTGACTTTTTAGAAAATGCCTATGAAAAGGTGAGTCTTGCCTAATGAGTGGTTGAGTGTACCTAGGATATTCTTATTTGTTCTGCTACCTTCTGTGTTCCCAGAACCTATTTAGAATTTGGATAATTTTGAATCTCCTTGGAATGAAATGTTTACACGTTGTCTGCTAGAGTTCAATATACCATACAACCTTGATAGTGTGGGCACATACTGTAGTAATACCTCATTCTGTGGGCAAGTTAATAATAGAAAGGTAAGGGAGATGTCATTTGATTAATAAAAATCTACAGAATCATAATTTCAATGTGTCATCTTTTGTGGCGTGGCAGGTTGGACTTGGTGCCCCCTGTCCCCGTGGCTCCCAGCTTCAAGTCCTCTGGTTGGTGGAAAGTTTGTTAATGCGGTGTCTTTGGAATTGGGTCAAGCTGGATATCATTCGAAAGCCTTTTCTTCCAAAAACACAATGATACCAAACATAATAAACCTAGAACAATTATATAGATATGTAGTTGAGAAAAAATATTTAAAAATTAACATTTTGAATTATACTTTGACATAGGGATGCATTGCTTACATGAGAAAGACATTGATCTTTGGTAATTCTAGGTAAGTTGGCCTTGATATGTAGAACTGAAAACATTTATTCATCAAAGTCATCATCAGTGTTGTCACCAGGTAGGGCATCATTGCTAGACATGTTGTCACATTAATCCTCATCCACACCGCACTCGCACATCTATGTACAAGACAGGCTACTGGTCAAACATTTGCAAAGTGGTAGGCATCTGGTCTTTTCACACGAACATTTGATTAGCTGAATGATGGATTCAGGAGTGCATGGTATATTGCACAAAACTGGTGTGATCAGTTCATCCACCAAGACCATACATGCCCGATAGGGAAGTGTAGTTTTGGATTAGCTCAATCATCCCATCCCAGTACTTTATAATTTTGCCTTCTTAATAACAGGTTGTGACAAACCAGAGTACAGTCCAGACTAATGGGTAGTTGCATCACCCCTTCCCTCTAGTTGGGGTGATCTTTACAATGTTCTGCTGCTGTAGCTTCCCTGCCTGGGTTGCTCAGAAACAGTACTTCTGGGGGAATTCTGCATCACTGTGCAATGCAGAATTTGCGGAGAATTAATGTTCTGTGCAGAATTTCATTTTTTCCTGCGGAATTGGCGCTGCAGAGCTGCTGGCTGCCACTAGGGGACCTCTGAAACCCCGAGAGCCTCACTCCCCAGCTTGCAAATAGAGGACACTGCCAGGGGGAGGTGGAGGTGAAGGGTACAGCTGCAGTTTTCAGCATGCCCTGGAGGCGTGTGGGAAACTCTGTACAAGCCTGGAAGCCAGCATCATGTTGTTTCTCCCTCTGTATTCCTGGGCTCTGGGGACGGAGGGGGTGTAGGTGTCTGAGCTTGGGGGCACCCTGCAACTGGGTTCTGGGAAGAGAGGAGTGGGGTGTCTGGCCCCACGGCTGGACTCTGGGCGGGAGGGGATGTGGGTGTCTGGCCCTGCAGCTGGGCTGTTAAGAGGAGCCAGAAATCCACTCCTCCAGCACCCCCCAGCTGTATGCCCCCCTCCAGCTCCCACTTCCCCTGGCAGTGTCCTCTATTTGTTAGCCTTAGGGGAGCAGGGCAAAAAAACGAGTTCCCCTCAAGATGTGCTCAGCTGGCATGCATGATGCACCCAGACTGAGGCGCTCAATAAAAGCATAACAGAGAAACAGGAACTGGGTTGTCATAGGTGTTTCTTTAACTCTCTACTCCTGGCGGAATATTTTTTGTTGTCTGTATTGTTACAGACATACTTGCTGATAGGCATTTTGAAATAAATTACCAAAATAATTGAAACTGGCATGACTATATTTTTATTTTGACAAATATGCAGAAGTTTATTAACTACAAAGAGATTTTAAGTGAGTACAAGTAATGAGACATAAGTCAGCAATGATTACAAGAAAAATAAAGATAAAATGTTTACTAATACTTAACTTAACAAGCTACATTAGATTCAAAGCAAGTTTTCTCACTACATTCTTCAGCAAATTACTGACCAAACACCTATGCTGCTTCCTTTGTCCTTCAGATGCCGTGACTATGATGGGCAGAGAGAGAGAGAAGGTGTCTTGGGGTGTCTCCCCTTCCTTTTTATAGTCCTCTCCCTGCTTTAAGAAGCATTTTCAGCTAGGAGCATGGTGACAGGCAGTTTGTGTGGGTGGGAACTCTGTTTCTTTGCTAAGATGTAGATTTTTCACCCAAGCCCTCTTTCCTGCCAAAGAATAGCCACTTAACAGGTAATGGCTCATTGGCCTTGTTTACACCGGGCCAAGGCATCAGCTTGCTGTTTGTCTGCGAGGAACTTTTTGGCCACTCCCTAGACTTGGATCATGTATTAATAACACCATAGAATGGAATCTTATAACTTTACATACAATGTTGCCATACATATTTTACCAGGATAATAATGACCAGCAAATTATGTGTTTTCAAATGACACCTCACAAGACCTACTTTGTGCAAAGATAATTACAATAGCAGACACAGAAGTACGTTCTGTTACACAGGTATAAATGCACCCGTTATCAGTGGCAATTTTTATCTGTCTGTTTTTTGGAAAACATCCACCAGTGTAGGTCTGCCATGTGTCGTAATGTTGATTTTTAAACATTTTGTCGAATATGTATCTACATAATTGTTCTAGGTTTGTCATGTTTGGTACCATTGTGTTCATGGGTTGAGCTGGGTATCATTTCTCCCTTTTCCAATGACACTGTATTATCAACTTTTCCACCAACCGGAGGACTGGGAGCTGCAGAGGCAAGGGGCAGTGAGTCCCCACCTCCCAAGTCGTAGAGGATGACACCATTGAAATTGTGATACTGTAGATTTTTACAAATCAAATGACATGTCCCTTGCCTTTCTGTCATTAGTTTGCCAATGGAATTCCACATGCTCCCAGGCTATGACTGAAACAGAGTCACATCCCTGGATTTCACTTGTGGATGTGACCCGATTTCAAAGAAGTGTACATATAGTTGAGGGAAGCCTACCAGTGGATTCACTCGTTATCCAATGAGCTATTTGAATTACTTACCTTAACATTTGTTGGTACTACTCAGGCTCTCTTTCTCAGTCTCTTCCTTGCTGATAATCTTGGGTCATGTTAAGAGTTCAGCATATGACTGGGCCACTACCCTGACTACTTGAAGAATTTGAGTGTCTGTTGTAAACTATGAATAATTGGGTGTTCAACTGCACCAAGATTTTTACTAGCCCAGGGAAAATATGAAATGATACTTATCTTGTACTCGTAGTGTCTGACTTATGTCAGAAGAAGGCTTAACGGTTAGACTTTCTGGAACCACAGGCTTGACTCATGGTACTATTGATTTCATGCTTGTGAAATGGACAAACTTAATATGCACTTCACTTCATGGGGATTTGGTCAAAGAAAACCTTAAAGTAGAGTTGGTTGTATTTTACTGGTTTGTTAAACCCAGGGGCTTAGCTTCTGATTTCTGAAGCAAGGAGCCTGGAAATCCTGGGGGTTCTCAAAGGTTCCAGGCTCTCTGCTGTGGAAGTCTCTACCTCTCTACGTCCAAGTCCCCTTACTATTTCTGTGGTTTCACACATTCCTGTTTTAAAGAAGGTCTTTCCCCTGTTGTGTAAAACCCCCCGCACAAATGAAAATGGAAACTGACTCATTAGACACAAAATGCAACCAAATAAACAGGAAAAACACAAATCCTTTATTTATAATCTTGGATATTACCTCATAAATATATTTGGGAAAATCCGATTTAAGTTTGATTTAAGGTATTCATGTCCCATTAAGTGATTTTTTTTTTTTTAGTCACTTCTTGTAAGAGTAGGGGCGTGTGCTTATTTCCTTTGGTCAAACTTCTCCCCTCTGACCTCTCCTCTTCTTCCCCAATGTGTAGTGCAAGCTATGCATCAGTTGTCTAGTTGGCTGCTGTCCTCCTTTCCCACCTGAGAGGTGGCTGCACTCCAGTAGTATTGTGAGCATATAGATTTGAAGCAATTAAAATCTGAAAGGTTCTACATAAGGATAAAAAAATTAACTTTCCAAATTCTCATTATTTTAAACTAACTTGTCCTTTCCCCCCTCAGTATGGGCCTGTATTTAGCTTCACTATGGTGGGCAAGACGTTTACCTACCTACTGGGTAGCGATGCTGCTGCTCTAATATTCAACAGTAAAAATGAAGACCTGAATGCAGAGGATGTATACTCTCGACTGACCACACCAGTCTTTGGCAAGGGAGTTGCTTATGATGTACCTAACCCGGTATGTATTTAGAGTACAAAGTCAATTAAACATCTAGGGTGCAGATCAAATCCTGACAAGGTTGCCATGAACTGTTTGCCCTATATGATGGGGATTGACAATATCAGTGAAATTCTGGTAGCATGGTTTGCCAACACAGTTGCTGATTTTGATTGTTAGGCATAGAGTAACCAAAGACTGAACACATTTAGGCTCTGGTATTGTTTTTTTATATGGCCATCTACTGGTTTGGACAATACTCGTGGGTTAGACCTTCTCCTTCAACCACAGTGGAAAACTAGCAGCTTTGTCTTCTTTGTTTTCCTTCCTCCTTTGAGCTTATACTTTCTGAATGCTTTTAACCTAAGAGCACCTTTAGGCTCATTCCTTGCCATGGGAGCTTCAGAGTGAGATTTTTTTTTTTTCTACAGGCCTATTTGTACATACAAATGTGAGGCGGTACCACCTCCCCAAGCCACTCTGATAGATCTGGTACTAGAGAGAGGGACTAAGTGCTTAGTGGGTTTTCTTTACAAAACCTTGCACGTCTGCCCTCACCAGCAGGTGGTATTGAGTCTCCTCAGTGCAGCAGACAGCAAGCAGCATAACACCTCTCTGTTACCTCTACCCTCTTTGCCTTGTATTCTTGCAGAGGTTGAGACTGGAGAGGAAGGCAGCAGACCTTCCTCCCTGACTATGGGAGGATGGAGGACTGCACAAGGTGGAAGCTGAGAGTTTGAGGATGATAGTTATCTAATGTGCTAGGAATGGCTGCATGCTTCAGAAGCATATTCCCATTCTAGAGAGGGATAGTGGTGGCATATATAAACTGCTATGGAGGAAAAGAGAAAGTTAGAACCATGAGGCCTTCAGAATCCTTTCATTCTTGAAGAACCAGATAAACTAAGGCTGACTGGCTCCAATAATTTTAATCAAACCAGTAGGTGGCTGTATATTTGCCATGCTGAAAGTAACAAAGTGGAATATTTTTGCAGATTGCCCACAAGTTCATTTCAGAATGGACCAAGAACATGGAACTTGCTGCCAGATGAAATAAGTGTTTGCTAACCTCACTATTCAGAGCTAAATGCTAAACTCCCCTCTTCAACCAAGCTGTCCAATACTATCCCCATTCTAAGATGCACTTTTAAAAACCCATAAGCTGTTGTCTTGGTGGCTGGGAAGGATAAGTGAGTGTTTGTGTGGGTTTTTTTCTGTGTTTTTTGGAACCTATGAGGCTCCCTGGGAAGAGGCAATGAGTTGAATGGATAGATAGAAGTTAGTTAAAATCTGAAAGAAGTATAGACAGAATATTGACTTAATGACTAACAAATGTTGACCTGAAGAGGTTTGCCGAGGAGTTGCTCCAAATATGAAAGTAAACTGCAATGGCCTTGAATTTCTTTCTAGATAATAACGCTCAATTGCTGAAGCTTTTGAGTGTGGAAAAAGATTTAAAAGCTTTAATTATAATTTAATGACACAATGTTCATGTTCTGAAAGCAATAATAACAGGATTTAAGTGTATCCTAGAATGCAATTCCACACATTTGCAAGTTTCCATTCAGGATAGAAGAATTTAGACTTGCTCTTGAAAATATAGTAGAAGCTTATGTTGTCAGGAACTCACTTCCATCAGTAGTTCAACTACCAACCAGGATTTCAGTTTTCAGTATTTTGTTCTTTATGTACAGTAATTTTGTAAAATTAAAATAAAATTCCCCACTACTAGTGACAGTGACCTGAGTTGAAAACCTCCCAGCATTTATAATTTAGCTAAAAGTTCAATAACATGAATTTCCAGATTAGGTCATAGTATTGATTTAGGTTTTTTTAATATTACTTGCTCTATCTGGCTTCATTCCCAAAATATGGAGTAGCAGTAAGAGCCTGAAGCAGAACAGGATAAGAAAGCTTCAGCTGGTATAGAGTACAGCAGCCCATCTGCTTGGAAATAATCCCAGTACTCTGCTTTTCAAGATAGGCCCTTCTTCTTGAGGGGTTGCTTCTCACTCAGACCGTAATTTTCAGCAACAGCTACCTTACACCAGTGCTATGAAACTTGGTCAGTGGGATACTTGTTAACATGGATAGAACTGTCACAAGAGCTAGACTCAGACTTTGGAACTTAAACTCACAAAATATAAGAATGACCATTGATTGTGCTTTCAGAACTAAATGCCAAACCCATTTCTTTGAGTAAGCTTCCTCATATGCTACATGAAAATTAGGAGAGGAAGGAGCTTGCTACTTTTTATGCCACTGCAGGTGAAGAAGGGAGGGAGGTGGGTTTTTTGTGTGTGTGTGTGTGTGTGTGTGAGGTACATATACTACACTGAAAACTATATAAGTATCTAGATCAGTGGTGTCCAACCTCTTCACCCTGAACAAGGTCAAGGGGCCCAATATTTTTGGGAAGAAAATCTTCCCTGTTCCACCAGCTCCTATGTCTCCAGGGCGAGAAGGAAGAACGAGTGAAGTATGTTGTGCTCTAGCTATTCCCAGGTGGCATATAATCTCTTGTGGTCCTCTGTCAGATTGGAGTGTCCTCAGGCAATTTGTGCCCATGCTGCTCTAACCTGGGTTGGTGCAGAGAATTGGGGAGGTCCCCTCTGCTCTGCCCTGGATTGTGTGGGGGCCATCCTTTGCTAGGCACTCTGCTAGGCTTACACACCCAATTGAGCTTCCTTCCTGCTCTCCCTGGGGCTCCCAGGCAGTGTGGGAGCTGCTGAATAGCTCTAGCACAGGAGGGATAGAAACTGTCTGGTGCACTCCTGGGTTACAGAGCTGCTCATGGGGCTACAAGGAGAACTTTCTGAGGCAGATGGTAAGGCGGTGCTCCCTACCTTCTCCCTGTAGCAACAGGAATTATACAAACACTTCAGATAAAACTGCAGGGTACAGCTCAGGGAACACTTTCCTAATCAAATCCAGTTTAACTAAACGGTCCTTGACCACAGACTGGACACCACTGACCTAGATAAACAGCTTCCACAATCTGAGCAGGACCTCACCTTGTGCATACATCTTAGCCTAAATTCATGTTTTAAAAACATGTCAGGCAACCTTCTATCTGTTGGGTTACCTCAGTTCTCTAGAGAATGGGGTAGGAGGAGCTTTGGGAGACAAAGGCATAAATTGTCTCCGTTCTGGTGGAATGAGCAGTTTAATCCATAAATCGTGTCCAGACTAGTGGACACACTGACAAATTGAGGATATGTTTGTGTCATATTGTGAGCTTTTGTCTTCCATTTTGTTTTGTGAACTCCATTTCTTTTCGGTGCTATATTTTGGAGGACCTTCATTATATATTGCAACCTCCTTTGTGGGTTACAGCATCTCTTCTTTAGCGGAGGCTTGACGCCTTGTTGAATGACTGTCTGAGAAGCTGGCACTGAGCAATATAGTTCCATCAACCTTGAATGAATTCCATGCTGGAATAAAGGGTTTTATACTGTTAGGGCCACTGACTTTGAATGACTCTAGTCTACATACACAGACATGATGTGTTGGTGAATGTGGTAAGGAGGAGAACCTGGAACCCCCCAGGAAGTATATGGCTGGGAGACCTGCAGTTTGGTCAGGTGGTGGACAGCCAGAGAAAGGGGTCATACTATTTTAAACCAGGGATGCTTCTCTAAAGAGGCAGTTCACTGTCACATACCAAAAGAAAAAGGCTGGAGGTGAGAGAGGACAGGAGGGGTTGCCTAGCCTAAGGATGTGGACCAATCCCAGGACTTTCAGGAAGGATGAAATCAGACTTGGGAGGGACTTCATTATTTTCTAAAGATCTGTAACTAGTGTGTGTTAAGAGTGAAGTGTGTGTGTGTGGCTAAGAAATTCCTTTGGTAAGCCCCTGTTTCTTGTTTTCCTGCTGACAGGGTTAACTGAGGCCTGGTCCACACTACCCCCCCACTTCGGACTAAGGTACGCAAATTCAGCTACGTTAATAACGTAGCTGAATTCGAAGTACCTTAGTCCGAACTTACTGTGGGTCCAGACGCTGCAGGCAGGCTCCCCCGTTGATGCCGCATACTCCTCTCGCTGAGCTGGAGTACCGGCGTCGACGGCGAGCACTTCCGGGATCGATCCCAGAACATTGATTGCCTGCCGTCGGACCCGGAGGTAAGTGTAGACGTACCCTGAGCAACCACCTTCCAGGTGGACCCTGAGAGTATGTATCTAAGGAACTGGGGGGCTCAAGAGGTGCGAGGAACTGTTTCTGGGATTTAAAGTGGCTGGGCTACAGAGCCCCACATCCAAAGGAAAGGGTGCAGATATGAGGTCTGCACCTGTGAATGTGAATTAGAGACTAACTGTAGGAACAGTGACCAGTCACTGTCCAGACCAGGGGGCTTAAAAGCACATGGGGGTCCAGTGATTAGGTTCAGTCACAACAGACTGGTGTCCATCCAGAGAAGGAGACTAGGCCAGGTTGTTACAGATAATTTAGGAAAAATAGTTTCTTTTTCTGTAATCCTAACTTTCACCCATAGCAGGCCACTTGGAACAGGACTGTGGCTTGATGGTGGAAATTAGTGGATATGCTTGGACTTCTGCTTCTGGGTTTTTGTTTTTATGACAAAGAGCATGTCTGTCTGTTAACCATGTTCTTTATAATATGACAGTTATTTAAAATTATATAGACAAGGTGGGTGAAGTAATATGTTTTATTGGACTAACTTCTGTTGATGAACGAGACAAGCTTTTGAGATTACACAGAGCCCTTTTTCAGATCCTGTGTAACCTTGAAAGCGTATCTTTTTCACCAACAATATAACTACCTCACTAGCCTTATTTCACTAATATCCTGGGACCAACATGGCTATAAAAACACTTCCCATTATGTGTAAGACTGTCAGTTATTGTGGTCAGTACTAGTTTGGCAGGAAAAAACTGAGATGCATGTTGCATAATAAGTTAAAGTTGCCCTAGTGAGTATGTCATGTGCTACACTATGGATATCAAACTTTTTTTGAAAGAGAGGACATAATTCTGATTGATTATGGTTGTGGCTAGGATATAAATTCAAGACTTCATACTTCATACTTCCCACAGTGCAGAGTGGACTGTCCACAACATGAGTAAGACGTTTGCACAGAGATTAAAGGGAGAATATGGTCTCTATGTAGCATCTGAAGTTTTTGTTCATTTGCCTTATTGTCACATTCATTAGGAAGAAAATGTTCTCCTTTAAGCGCATTGCTGTTTCTGCTCATTATTTCTCTTTTTTTCTTTTTCTCTCCCTCTTCCTGGTCTTTTGAGTCTCTAGTTTTTTCTCTGTAAAATTCCCACCTGCTTCCTCATTCCATCCATTAAAATGATCACTGATTAAAATAGTTTACTGGTGACAATGAAGTGTCATTTTTAAGTGGGTATTCCAGCCAGATTAATAAAATACAGCCTCCCTGTGCTATGGGGCAAGGCCACAGAGCCCTGTCCTGTCTTTCAACAGCCCTGTAGAGAGGGCAGCAGTAGTGTGGCTACTTATGCTTGTGGTGTGAGCTGCTAGTACACCCAGTGTTTCTTGGTGCCTTAGGGTACGTCTTCACTACCCGCCGGATTGGCGGGTAGCAGTCGATCTATCGGGGATCGATTTATCGCGTCTCGTCTAGATGCGATAAATTGATCCCCGAACGCGCTCCCCGTCGACTCCGGAACTCCACCAGGGGGAGAGGCGGAAGCGGAGTCGACGGGGGAGCCGCGGTCATCGATGAGGACGGGAGGTAAGTCGATCTAAGATGCGTCGACTTCAGCTACGCTATTCTCATAGCTGAAATTGCGTATCTTAGATTGATTTCCCCCCCCCCCCCCCCCCCCAGTGTAGACCAGCCCTTAGAGGAGGTCTGTCTGTGAGGCCATGGTCCAAACCCCTTCCACATTGTTAAGCAATTGCAGGGCTGCAGTAAGAAACATATAAGCTTCAAGAAATACTATTGCATAGTAATTGCTGGCATACAGCTCCCTACCTTTCCCTAGTGGCCTCAAGATATATCTGTTTCTTGCTTTTAAAGGAAATGCACCACCTATGCACTACCTGAAGCACTGCTGCAGTTCTTGGAAATTGATAATCTTAGCATGCTGTACTGTTCGCCAGCAAGACTGCTCTTTATCTACCCAGTTAGTTGGTAACTAGGCTGAATATGTAAGCTTAAGACAATACCAAGTGGATCTTCTGTCCCTTTCTGCAGTCAAACCACGGAATTTGACTCCAGTGTGTGAATTAACTGCTATATAGTAACTTTCTTGGTATGCCCTATCAATGAGAGATTCCATTCACTAATGGACTAGTTAATATTTGTAATTACTATAGTTATTGGGCTAGTTATATTTTTGCTTTGAAAACTACATGATGCTAGAAAAATGGTAATTTAACTATAACTGAATACATGAAGAGTATGCTAGTGACTGTTATTTTCTTGGGGTGGGTGGGCACACTGAGATTGCTCAGTCAGGGCAAACCCCAAAGAACAGAGCAGACGATCCCCAAAGATGGTGGTTATTCTAATACTTGGATTCACCTAGGGTTACCATATTTTAAGTGTCCAAAAAGAAGACACTCCACGGGGCCCCGGCCCTGCCCCAACTCCGCCCCCAGCCCTGCCCCACCCCTTCCCCTTCCTGGCCCCAGCCCCACCCAACTCCGCCCCTTCCCCAAAGTCCCTGCCCCAACTCTGCCCCCTCCCCTGAACGCTTCGCCCCCCTGCTCCTCCCCCTCCCCTGCTTCCCGCGAACATTTGATTTGCGGGAAGCCTGAAGCAGGCAGGCAGCAGGTAAGCTGGGGTTGCGGCTGGGGGGGGAGGGGGGCGCAAGGAGGTGTGGACCAGTCCGGCCCCCCCCGCCGAGCGGCTCCCTCCGGCGGCCGGCTCTGGCCCCAGCGTCTCCGGCCCGGCTCGGGCCCTGAGGCGCCGGCCCCGGCCCTGGGTGAGCGGTGCCGGCCGGCGGCTGAGCAGCCCCGGTCCCAGTGGCTCCGGCCGGCTTGGGCCCCGGTTCCGGCCGAGCAGCTCCAGCCCCGGCCCTGGGCGAGCGGCGCCGGCTGAGCCGGCCCGTCTTGGCTCCGGCCCGGCTCGGCTTCGGCCCGGCTCAGCTCAGGCCCCGGTTCCGGCCGAGCGGCTCCGCCCCGGCCCCGGCCCCAGCCCCAGCCCTGGCAGAGCGAGCGGCGCTGGCCGGCAGCCGAGCACCTGCCGGCCCCAGCAGCTCCGGCTCCGGCCCCAGCGGCTCCAGCCCGGACCCAAGCCCCACGACTCCTCCCTCCCTATTTTTCCGGACATGTCCGACTTTTTGGAATTTCCTCCCAGACGGGGACTTGAGGACCAAAAAGCCGGACGTGTCCGGGAAAATCCAGACGTATGGTAACCCTAATTCACCAAGCCAGCAACAAAACAGCTTCTACAATACCTCACTGGTTGCCCAGAAGCCAAAAACACAGTTCCCTTAAAGCAGAGGTGGGCAAACTATGGCCTGCGGGCTACATCCGGCCCGCGGGACCCTCCTGCCCGGCCCCTGAGCTCCTGGCCTGGGAGGCTAGCCCCCGGCCCCTCGCCTGCTGTTCCCCCTCAGCCTCAGCTCACTGCTCTGCCGGTGCAATGCTCTGGGTGGCGGGGCTTTGAGCTCCTGGGGCAGCGCAGCTGCAGAGCCACGGCATGACCCAGTGCTCTGTGCTGTGCGGTGGCGTGGCTGGCTCCAGCCAGGCAGCACGGCTGCCTGTCCTAGTGCTCTGGGCGGCACGGCTGTAGCACCGCCAGCCACCGGTGCTCCAGGCAGTGTGGTAAGGGAGCAGAGAGGGGTTGGATAGAGAGCTGGGGAGTTCGGGGTGGGGGTCGGGGTGTGGGGGTGTGGATAGCGGTCGGGGCGGTCAGAGAGCGGGGAACAGGGGGGTTAAATGGGGCACGGGTCCCGGGGGGCAATCAGGAAGGAGAGGAGGGGTTGGATGGGGCAGCAGGAGGCAATCAGGGTCGGGGTTCCGGGGGTGGTCAGGAGACAGGGAGCAGGAGGGTGATAGTGGATGGGGTAGGGGTTCCGGGGGGCCATCAGGGAACGGGGGGGTGGATGAGGCAGGAGTCCGGGGGGGCCGTTGGAGTGAGAAACGGGGGGGTCGGATAGAGGGTGGGGTGCAGGCCACGCCTGGCTGTTTGGGGAGGCACAGCCTCCCCTAACCAGCCCTCCATACAATTTCAGAAACCTGATGGGTCCCTCAGGCCAAAAAGATTAGGCTTGAATAAAGACTGGGAGTGGTTGGGTCATTACAAAACCTAAACTTAATTTCCCCAATACTAATTTCTCCCTACTGTTACTCACACCTTCTTGTCAACTGTCTGTAATGGGCCACTCTCTTACCACTTCAAAAGTTATTTTTCCTCCCTTGGTATCCTGCTGTTAATTGATTTATCTCGTTAGACTGACCTAACACTTGGTAAAGCAAACCCCATTCTTTCATGTATTTATACCTGCTCCTGTATCTTTTACTTCATACATCTGATGAAGTGAGTTCTAGCCCACGAAAGTTTACACCCAAATAACCTTGTTAGTCTCTAAGGTGCCACAAGGACTCCTCTTTTTTTTTTTTTTTTTTATAGACGACATTATTACACCCAAGTTTCATCTAAATGTTAATATTCCCTTTTGATCTCTGAATCAATACAGTATAGTAATGGACAGGAACCATCTGGTTACATGATTAACCTCTAACAAGATGTAAGTAAACACATAAAATTAGTAATTACCTCTAATTCTGTAACAATACATGGTTCCATTTCAAAGCTCTAGTTTATCTGACATGGCTTTGTTATAAGGAATGGCCCTAATTACCATTTATGTACTCTTGTAATATGTCTTTAAAGTTTGAATTCAGGTCATTTAGCCTGCTAGTTGCTTAATCCTTTCTGGCTCAGTGTTGCAACACTTAGTTAACATTTTCCGATTTGGGTGCCTAAAGTTAGGCACTAAATAAGTGGCTTAATTTTCAAAAGATGCCAAGCATCTGCAGCTCCCACTGAAGTCCATAGGATCTGCAGGTGCTGTTTAGCTATTTGAGTGACTGAAGTTAGGAACTCTATTTAACTCTGAAAATGTTAGCCAAATGTAGTGTCAAACTTTAATATAGAATATGGTAAATGAGTTTTGCTTTGACTCTAAGAGATTTGCAACTCCATCACAGTATTGTTGCAGCTTGGATGTCCTTAAGCAAGCATTCTTACTTGAAAACCAAAGTAGCTAAACTCAAACGGAATTTCAGGTTTATAGTTTAGGGTGTGGTTTTTTTTTTTTTTTTTTAAATTTGGTTTTGGAATTTGTAAAAAGTGTGTAGTAGATTTTAGTCCTAATCTTGATTTCATTTTACTTTCATTTCTAGAAGGCTCTCCCTCTGACTTCTATTTTTCTATTTCTGTCTTTTCTGGTTTAGTACCACTTGCAATACGCTGTTAATGACTAAACTGTAATTATGTACCTCATGTTCTATACCTCTAATATCTTAACCCTTGCAGGTATTTTTGGAACAAAAGAAAATGCTAAAAACTGGGCTGAATATAGCTCAGTTTAAACAACATGTACCTGTAATTGAAAAAGAAACAAAGGAGTACTTCAAATCCTGGGGAGACAGTGGAGAAAGAAGTAAGCAAGATCAGATGCTTTGTGTGTTGAAAAGTTACACTGACGGGCGTGCACGAGAAGTAGACAAAACTAGCTTCATATGACAGTATTTTGATCTACTTGAACATTTTTAATAGAAAGGAAAGACAGGTCCAACTGTATCAGACATTCCATGCTCAAAAGAACCAGGTACAAAGCATGTTCTTTGCCTACTTAAAGCTCAAGGGAGGATGAAGCCACTCACAAAGTTAGTAGTAGGTTGTAAAGAGCTAATTTGCTCTTGGCTTCGTAGTCTCTGCCTATTTGTCCCCAAACTAACAGTTCAGGCTGCATTAGAATAGTTTTGCAAGGGTTAGGCCACTTGTGCCTAATATCTTCACTGTTAAATCAGCAACTCAACATTTTTAAATGTTGTTATTCCCTTGTTCCAGAATCATGATCAATAACGCACATCCTCTTTAAAGAAACAGACTATTTGTACTTCCTTAACTAAAACAGTCTGACTTAAGCCAAATTAGATTAAAAATTAATAAGAAAAAATAGACCCCACCTGTCCATTTTATTAGTGAGCATTTATTCCCAAACTTCATTGATTTGAATAGGGCTGCTTCATTATGAGCATGTTACTTCTGTGCCACTGTGCAATGCAGAATTTGTGCAGAATTAATGTTCTGTGCAGAATTTCATTTGTTCCTGCAGAATTGGTGCTGCAGAGCTTCTGGCTGCCACTAGGGGCCGTTGAAGCCCACAGAGTCTGACTCCCCAGCTCAAAATATAGGACACTGCCAGGGGCGGGGGAGCTGGAGGCTTCCCAGCAGTTACAATTCCCAGCATGCCCTGAAGGAAGGAGGCAGCGTACAGGAAACTCCATACAAGCTCAGGACCCAGCATCTGTCTGTTTCTCTTCCTGGATCCCTGGGCTCTGGGGGTGGAGGTGGTATGGGCCGGGGGGAGGGAGGCCACTCCATAGTTGGGCTTTTGGGGGTGGGGTGGGGAGGGAGTGCATGTGTCAGGTCCTGCGACTCCCTCCAGCACCCCTAGATACCTCCCCCAGCTCCCCTTCCCCAGCAGTGTCCTCTGTTTGGGAAATTCTCCGTGTGTATTCAGTTAATACCTTTTTTTTGGCAGAAGTGAAAGTAGTGGCCTGTAAATCTTGACACCATCTCCCCAAAATGCGTGCTGACTGACTTTCCTTTTCCTCCCTTTATTCAGATTTGTTTGAAGCTCTTTCAGAGCTCATTATTTTGACAGCAAGTCATTGTTTACATGGGAAGGAGATCAGAAACCTACTCAATGAGAAGGTGGCACAACTGTATGCTGATCTGGATGGGGGATTTACTCATGCAGCTTGGCTTCTGCCAGGTTGGCTTCCTTTACCTAGCTTCAGGTACCAAAAATAACATGTTAAACAGTATATACTTAAGAAACGTCTGTGCCTGTTTCAGCTCTTTCTTAGAGTATGTTTTAAGTAAATATGAATTTTAAATAAAAATGGAATGCAAGGGTATTTCCTGTAGGGGAGTTTATCAAAATACTGTTTTCATGGTGTAACCTCAACTAGAAATTAGGAAGGCGGTTGCTTTTAATTGACATCTAAAAGCATAAGACCTATAGCATGCCTAAAAGCATAACAATTACAGCATAACTAAATGTTATCCCCACAACTATTGAGTACCTAAATTTGAGTCAAAGCATTAAGAATGAGGGTTTGGGAGTTTCTGAACATGTTAATTCAGTATAATTGAGCTGCCTAAATTTAGTGTATGTAATTAAGTATATACTGATCTAGTTCAAAGCACTTTTTGAAGCTTTGTTCATTTTCTACAAAGCAAATAACTTTTATGTAAGATATTTATTATATTGGGTCTGATCCTTCAAGTTCTGCACAAGCACGTGGGTTTGTTTGTATCTTGTCTTAAATTCATTTGTATTAAAACTTTAGAATTAAAATGGCTACCACAAATAATTAACATATTTTGTTTTTTTGCGTAGTATAATTGTATAGGCCCTGGCAGCTTTGATTCATCCTTTGGGTCGTGTCACCCTTACATGTATGGGGTGAGCTCCTGCTCTTCCAGATGTTTGCTGTTCACTCTTATCCTCTGACTTGCAGGAAAGCTAGCAGCCATCCCAAGCCAGGTCTCAAGGCTTGGCAGCATCAGCTTGGTCTAGAGGATCCAGGTCTACTTACTTGTGGCCTTCGGCCAAGCACAGTACTGATCTAGCCTAGTACTGAGATGATTGATAACAACCTCTTTGGGCTCTGGTACCGTATGAGCATGGCATATGGGGCATATGTCCCCTTTTGGGTCCTCAGTACTATTAAAGACTGATCTTCTTGGTGCAACCAGTCTCAGCCTCCCTCCCTGGTATAGCAGGCCATCTGAGAGGAATGGGTGATACTGGCCACAGTGTTGTTGCCAGACAGGATCTGTCAGCCTCTACCCCGAGGATTACAAACTGTTCTAGGACCTTTTTGGGAGGGTTGCAGCAACCCTGGAGATAACCACCAAGGAGATTTAGGACACGCTGCACAAGGTCCTCGACATCTATCACTCCTTGTCAGTAGGGCGCAGAGTGAGCCCAATCAACAAAGGCCGCCTGGAGCTCACAAAAGACCTGTGGCTGGTACTGACATCCAAGCAAGCTGATAGATGGTATCAAGTCCCAGCTACTATACACAAATTGTTCTGATCCCATGCAGTTCCATGATCCTGGTCATATAATCACAGCCATGGAAAGGACTCATCGGAGTTGTCAGAAGATGACCCCTAAGGATAAAGAGGCTAAACACCTCTATCTCCTGGGTCATAAAGCTCACTTCTCATCAAGATTCTAGATGCGGATAGTGGTCTTGGAGAAATATGATCATGTATCTAGTGTGCATTACAACCATTTATTGGAAAGGTTCCACAAGATTACAGGCAGAACTTTTGCACCATCCTGGTGGAGGACTGTTTAGTGGGCAGAACAGCACTGCAGACAGTTTTGGCTGCCGCTGATTCTTTCTCCAGAGCAATGGCAATGGCAGTTCTTCATGGCTGGCTTTTGGGGGCATACCTAGACAATTGCAAACAACAATTTAGAACTTGCTTTTCTCATGGAAGAGGGCCAATCCCTCTTCCATGAGAAAACTGATAAGGCAATGAGATCTCTCAAAGATTGCGGAACAACCGTCAGTTCTCTTATTACATACACTGGGCCTGCAAGAATAGGCATTTTAAGCCTCAACCTTTCCAATACCAGCCATTTGTCTCATACAGACCACCTGAGCCTCCAGTCCACAGGCAGAAGTCCTTGAGATGAAAACCTGCTAGTGTTTTTTCCTCCCAGTCACTCCCCTTATATTGACACCAAGCAGGCAGTACATTTGATTTGGTGCCTGAGGACCGCATACCATTCTTCTTGTGGTCTTTGCCTTCCCACCTTTTTGGTGACCATTTGGCCCACTTTCAGCACATGTGATCCAATATCATGTCAGATTGTTGGATTCTGGAGGTAGTCTGGGCAGGCTAGATCATTCTATTTGTTTGTCTTTCCTGTCCCTCTTCGGGGATCCCTTCAACAAGAGTTTGCTTCACCAGGATTTATAATGCTTTGTCACTTTGAGTGCTGTAGAGGAGGTTCCTCTTCATCATGAGCAAGGAAGTTCTATTCAAGGTATTTCGTCATCAAGGAGACTGGGGGGCTTTGCCTGATACTAGACCTCCGGGCTCTCAATACCTATATAAAGAAGCTCAGATTCAAGATGGTTTTCCTCTCCTCCATCATTCCCATGCTGGAGCAGAAGGACTGGTATGCTGCTGTCAATCCCAAAGATGTCTGTTTCCATATTGTGATACCCCTGGCACATAGGCATTTCCTAAGGTTTATGTTCAACAGGAAATACTGGTCCTTGCCTGTTGACTGTCTGCAGCACTCCATGTATTTACCAGGCACACTGCAGTGGTAACCGCTCACCTGAGAAGATCTGGCATTCAGGTGTTCTCATAGTTGGATAACTAGCTGGTGAGGGGACACTCGCCGTCAGAAGTCCAGACCCATGTCTTGTGCATGCTGCAGATGTTCCAATGTTTGGGCCTGCTGGTGAATAAGGAAGTCCATGTTAATACCCACGGGCAGATAGAGTTCATTGCGGCCATTCTTGATGCATTCACAGCAACAGCCTCCCTACCACTCAACAGATTTCATGCCATATGCACTCTTTGCTTCCACCTACAGTCCCAGCCTTTAGAATGGGTGAGGTCTTGCTTCCTGCTGCAAGGTCTTATGGCAGTGTGTACCTTTTGTAACCTCATTTGCAAAACTCCAGTTCAGGCATCTTCGGGCCCGGCTCTCCTCAGTCTACTGCCCAAGATGTCACTGTCTAGACAAGGCGGTGCATCTTTTCCTGACGGTTCTTCAGTCTCTGGATTGGTGGACAGACCCTTGCAACATGCACAGGGGAGTTCCATGTACTCCCGGTTCACCCTTGAGAACTATGGTCACTGATGCCTTCACATCTGGATGGGGAACCCTTATGGACAATCTAACTGTGTAGGGCCTCACATATCAACGGCCTAGAGCTCAGGGCCATGTACAGTGCCTGCCCTGCCTTCCTTCCTGTGATTCATGGTCAATTAGTCCTGGTAATGAGGGACAATATGGCAGTTGTGTTCTACTTAAATAGGTGGTGGTAAGTGCCGAGGGCAGGTCCCTTGCTCTATGCCAGGAAGCCATTCACCTTTTGGGACTTTGCTGATAAAGTGATACCATGGTGTATTGCAGACCATCTCCCCAGATTAGACAATGTGAAGGCAGACAGTCTTTCTACAAGGGGTCATTTGGGACCTCTTTAGGCTCTGGGGTCCCCCACATTGACCTTTTTTTGCAAGAGCACAGAACAATGACATTTTTGCTCTTGGGAAGGATGTAGTCCTGTCAGATATGATTCTCCTTCCTTGGACAGAGGGTCTCTTCTATGCATTTCCCCCCTGCCCGCATCCCTCTGCTACCTACAGTTCTGCAGAAGATCAAGTGGGAGAAGGCCATACTGGGGCTATGAGGATTATATTGGCTAAGGAAGATGTGGTTCAGGGAGCTTTACAACCTCTTTGTAGTGCCTTCTATCTCTCTGCCTATGATTCCCAACCTTGCTCATAACAGTGGCTCAACCTTGCACCAAGACATGAACATCCCTTCACCTGACAGCGTGGATGCTTGCTGGCTGATGTCAATAGAGCTAGCCAGTTCTCAGGATGTTTAGAGTATTCATATTAATAGCAGAAAGAGCTCCACTATGTCCACTTCTCTCCAAATGGATAAGATTCTCACATTGGGTGATGTAATATCGGATGTCCCATGTCCTTGCTAGCATCCAGTATATTCTGGATTACCTGCTGCATCTCAAGCATTCCAGTGTCTCACCAAACTTGATATTGGTGCACTTTCTGGTCATCTCTGTGATCCACCTGCTCATTGACCAATTTTTGGTTTTACCCCACTGAAGAGGTTTTGAAGTGCATTGCAAGGCTCTACCCACTGGTCAGGGATCTGGCTCCAATGTGGGATCTCAACCTGAACTTCACATAACTCATGGAAGCCCTCCCCCCGCTGTGACAGATTTCTGTTACCAATCTGCCTGAGGCATCAGGTGATCAGGCCTAAGGCCGCAGGATCATTAGGGGAGTAGATGAAGGAGCACACCAAAGGTCTAAGTTTTAAAGCTTTATTAATAAAATAACAGCGGTGAGTACGGGGAACGCTCCCACGTCACTCAGGGAAAGAAAGAAAGCGTTAGTGCCCCAGCCATAACCCACTTTCATACTCTCACACGTACGATCCGAGGCTGGCCAAGCCTGGGTGTAACATCAGAAGAAGAGGGGGGGAAGGGTGGACGAGAGTTCTGTCTTGTGCACAAGCCGTCCAGGGTCCGCTGTTGATCTCTAACTTGCTTCAGCTCTCAGGAGGGTTTTAAGTCCTGGGTTCTTTCGGGGGCATTTCGTTCAGGGACCTCTGTTCCTCGTGCTCTTTGTACCAGTCCAAACTGGCTTTCTGTGGCTTCCTCAGCATTCCCAAAACACACCAGCTTCAGGGACGTGAGACTTTGTTTTTCCCCCTCGCTGGCCTTCACCGTCCCACTTGTTTTTGCACTCTCTGCAGTCCTGCTCAGCTTAGTTCTCCTTTCTCACAGTTGGCTGGGGTGGGTGAGAGCCAGATAACAGGCTTCTTGGCTGCATAGAATCTATTCGAGCACAGTGACCTTGGACTTCCTATCGGCGTCCTATCTTCCGATTTGAGCTGAGGCGTTGCGTTAACCCGTTCTCTTCTCCCCCTTCGGCCTCTCGCAACCTGCAAAGGAATCTTCCACTCCACACTCATACCTTTAACCTGTCCCAAAATGCCTTGCAATGCTTGCAACAGGTTAGCAACATACAATGCTGATCTGCCTCCCCAGGGGACCCCTGGGGTTGTAACACCGCCCTTGAGCCTCCGACCACATGCTTCTTACCTTATTTGTCAATGAACATGACCTTCCTCTTGACTATTATCTCTGCCTGGAGAGTCAGAGCTCCAGCCCCTGATGGTAGGACCACCGTATTCATTATTCAATTGGACAAAATATCCATGAGTCCGCATCCTAGATTCCTGCCCAAGATGTTGATAGTTTCATTAGCGTTGAATTCAATCAACCTACCTGTATTCTTTCTTAAATTTCATGCCAGCAGATCGAACAGGAACTACATCCCCTTTGAGTGCGCAGAGCTATTTTGTTCTACCTGGACAGCACTAAATCCTTCCAAAAATTGCCCAGACTGCTCCTGGCCTGTGCAGAGGGTCTTAAAGGGCAGGCCATATCTTCACAGAGAATATCAAACTGGATTGCATAGTGTATCTGGACATGTTATCAGTTACCTGATCTGTAGCCACACAACAATATGAAAGCACATTCCACCAGGGCACAGTCTATCTCTGTGGCCTTGCTGGCAAACCTCTCCATTCAGGAGATTTGGAAGGCAGCAACCTGGACTTAGTGCATGCTTTTGTTGAAATTGTATAGTCAGCTCCTTGACCACACTTTGGTTAGTTATGACATATGTTCAAGAGACCAAATAACTAATGTCAGTCAGGTTTATTGCTCTAAGCCAACAATAATGTCGTACGGGGAAAAGGTTCTCCATGATACCAGTCTCTGGGAAACTGTCTTGTGCAGTGATGTTACATTCACCTTATGCAGAAGATTTGCTCACAGAGTTACACATTTCAGCTGGGTAGTATTTATATGATGATTTTACAAGTTACATATCTCTTTACATGTCACTAAAATCCAACCCATTAGTTTGTCCCAGTTCCCATATTTCTTGTTCTGTTCCTTCCTCATCCTTGTTTTGGATACTAGCATTCCAGGTACTGGTCCATGAAGGTACTTCCCTTGCACTAAGCCATAGCATGAATGTATCTCGATTTTGACACGTTTCCTATCTGCTTATGCCAAATGCTTGCTTTAGCAAATGCAAGGTGTTACAGGATACTTAGTATAAATGAACAGAGTTATGGTATAGGCCAGTTTAGGCAACAACACTGTTATGATTTGAGCTTAATTGCAGGGTGGGTTGGGACATGTGTAATACAAAGCAGCTATCTCTCTGGCCCATCTCATCAGCTCAATGGAACCTGAACCAGTTTTCCCAGTCTTATGTTCCTTTGTGTTTCTGGTGCGTGCATTGTACTGTGATGCACATTATCCACTCCATATTCCCCAAAATCCTTGATGCAATTACACCTATCAGATCAAATACCTAATCTGCTCTGTGCCTGTTCTGCTCCTCAAAATGGTATCTGAAATGACTATGACCCAGTTAATAATATTTGGGTAGTAAATGACTGACATGTCACTGAAATATTCCTTTTAAAGACTAGTGAAAACTTTATGAATAAGTATTTTAGGCATTTTATCTAAACAGTCTTTTGGATTTTCACTGATTATTTGCAAAGAAAATTTCTGCACATTTGATAAGTATTTACAGCATTTTGTGTGTTTATTTTATATACAGACCCTAATAAAAATGCTTTGAATTACAGACGTAGAGACAGAGCACACAGAGAAATAAAGAACATTTTCTATAAAGTAATCCGGAAACGCCGTCAATCTGGGGAAAGGGAGGATGACATGGTCCAAACATTGCTGGATGTTACATATAAGTAAGTGAAAGTGTTGAAGGTTTGCCATTTAGAAGTGTAAGGGGGAAGTGCTTAGTACTTTAACAGGGTATGCTTCATTTACCAAAATTTCCCAAGTCATTGCCGCATGACTCTTGTCACCCTCCTCACATCTCCTCCTTGGGTTATTTGGCTTTCTCCCCTTGTATGCAGCTTTGTATAGGCTTTTGGAGAGAACACTTCTTTCCATGCCATGTTGATGAGGATAATGGGTGAAATTTAGGCCTTTTTGCCACCTCCCTCTAGAGGCTGAAGGATTTCACTTTGTTTAGGTGCAGACTGTGTGAAGCACCCAAACAGTAGATTTCTTAAAAACAAGATTGATTTTAAAATTGGAAAGAAAAATCAGACTAAAATAAAATGAATGGTTTGCATAACACCCCACCTGAATACTGTGCAAAGTTCAGGGAACTAGGCTTCCTTATCTTAATTATAAAGAAGAAAGATGTTACATGGGTAGGAAGCAAAACCCTTCCCTTCCCTTCCTCCTTAGTCAGCCTAACAGCCTCGTTTTCGATCTCACTTACCCAACCTACTTATCAATCCTTAGGGCAAGGAATTCTAACCTCACTAGATGAGGTCATCTCAATGTTTCCATAATGCAGATTTTATCAGGAGTCTCTTCCAGAGAGGATATGCCACAGTTGGTGTCTCCCCCCAAACCAGTAAAGTTGTCTTCTAGTCATCTCTGGAAAGCTTCCCAGGCTTCTTATCTTCAAGTCCCATATTTCAAAAGCCCTCTTGAGCTCAATTTCTGTAGACTAACTAAGGTGGTTGGTTTTTTAATTTAATTTCCATTATGTACTGCAGGAGTTAGACTGTACCTCTGTTGCATGCCTCATTCCTCAACTGTACCCCTGCTGGATGCCTCCAGTTTCTCTGTTGCCCTCAAGCCTCTTTTGAAATCTTTCAGCAGTTTCTCTTACCATGAAATATATATTGACAGACCCTTTCTCACACCTCTGTTCTCAGTAGAAAGAAAAAGAACTGTCTGTGCATTGTTGATTCATAAAATTCCATGTACAAATGGCAGACTTCAGGTGTGGTCTTGCCAGGTTCATTACTAGCTGTGTTTAAGTGTAGATCAAAAGGTTAGGAGGTAATTTATTGTAGATTTTTAGCCAAATGTTGGAGGCAGCTGTCAGATAGCTGTTGCTTTTCTCCCTCATGGCAGCCATGTGATGACTTTCTCTCTAGCTCCTTGCATTGCAATCTCTCTTCTTTCACATGCTTCTGCAGTTCCCCAACTGGAAGAAGGAAAAAAACTGAAGCTAAAAGTAACTACAATCAAACACTTAACATGATGTATTGCACTATATCTGGATACCTAATCAAGTAAAGCTAGAATGTATTTATTTCCTTAATCTAGGGATGGCCGTTCGCTGACAGACGATGAGATTGCTGGAATGCTTATTGGATTGTTGTTAGCAGGCCAGCATACGTCTTCTACCACCAGTGCTTGGCTTGGCTTCTTTTTAGCTAGAGACAAATCAATACAAGAACAATGCTATGCAGAACAGAAAGCAGTTTGTGGAGAAGACTTGAGGCCCCTAAATTATGACCAGGTTTGTTTGTTATATCATTTTCAAAAATTTAAAGATAGCCTGAAAGTTAATTTATGAAAGTGTTTAAACTCTTAAATACTTTGTTACAATTACAGCATCTATGTCACACATATGCTAGATGCTCATATCCTTGAACTTGGTGAATGAAAGCAGGTTTTGGTGGTAACTTGTATTCTAACATCGCCTCCTGGATAGTGGAATCTTTTTTTAAATCAAATGAAGAAGCAGAAACAAACAGGGTAGCTAGTGAAGTATATACCGTATATACTCGATCATAAGCTGGTTCGTTTATAAGCTGACCCCACCAAGATGGATAAGTAAAAATGTGGAAAATTTTTATGACCCATTCATAAGCTGACCCTATAATTCAGGGGTCATCAAACTTTTTGGCTCCCAGGCCATCAGGATAAGCCGCTGGTGGGCCGAGATGGTTTGTTTACCTCGAGCGTCCGCAGGCACGGAGGTAAAACTAAGTAAACAAAGTGTCCCGGCGTGCCAGCGGCTTACCCTGATGGGCTGGGACAGCAACTTTTGGGGGGGGGGCAGAGAAGCTGGGAGTCGGGGGAGTAACCCCTGTGACCACCCCGCATGTGACCCCACCCCTAGCCCGGGACCCCCACACTCTCCCCATCCCATCCCTTCCCACCTTATCTGGGATGTCTCTGGCCTGGCTGGAACTGCTCCGGCAGGCCTGGCGCCGTGGCCACAGCATGCTCCAGCGCCCAGGCAGCGTGGCCACAGCCTGCTCTGGGGCGGGTGGGGCTGAGCGGCACGGCTGCAGTCTGCCAGCCCTGGAGCTGCAGCTGCTTCGGAGGCTGGGGGGAGAGCAGGGTGGCCAGAAGCGAAGTGACTCTAGCCCCACCTCTTCCCTTCTGGCTCTGCTGGCTGTGCTGCCTCTCCTTGCTCCCTCTGTTGGGGGGTGGGGCTGTGTCCCACCTCTCCCTCTCTGTACCCGTTCATAAGCCGACCCCCTTCTCTGGTGCTTCCCTTCTTTACTAAAAAAATTTGACTTATGAATGAGTATATACAGTATTTGGAATTATGTATTTAAAATATGAGCAGCTTATCACATGGATTTTTTCAAATGGAAAAATACTGATTTATGAATGTTAAATATTCCTAAATCAGAAGGCAACTGATAAAGTTTACTATATTTGCAGCTGAAGGATCTGAACATGCTGGACCGCTGTCTAAAAGAAACTTTAAGGCTTAGACCTCCTATAATGACCATGATGAGAATGGCCAGAACTCCCCAGGTGAGCATGTTTGTTGATTCTATCCAAATCAGTGGTGTGGCTGTAATGTAAATTAATTGTAACCCTGTAGCAGATAGGGAATGACACAGTCAGAAAGGATGCAAGTCCAAACTAGCTTTTTAACTTAGCAAATGTGTCACCAACAATGAGATTAGTGCAGTGAGCTGCACACTAATTAGCACAGGGGCATAGGAGGACTGGAATGTGATGGTTTGAGCTTATTCCTGTCAGACTAGGGAAAATGAAGAAGAGTTTGGGAGTCAGCAGCCATCATCTGTTTATCAGAGAACTTGTTGTTGTGGCATTGTGTACCTTGCTAAATCACTGGTGCCTTGGGTCTGTTATACACTTTTCTGTTAAGGACATAAAGATCAGGATTTCCCCTGCCTTGGAACTTGTCTACTTTTGGCACTTGTGAACATGAAATTAGTATATTTAACTTTATTTATTGTACTGTGGTATTTCTGTTGGTAAACTAATCTTGCTTCCTCCTGAAGGGCCTTCTGTCTCCTACGTTGACACTTGTTCCTTTGTACTTTGGAGAAAACACATTTCTATCTAGTGTGAACTTTTCATCTCTCGCCTCTTGGTCTTAGTTTGATTTGCAGTTTTTCTAACCTGTTAGTACCCTGCCTTTCTTACCCGATATACCTCACATATCCTTCTGCAATGCACATTAGCTGAAGTCAGTGCTCAGCCTATCTGAAAATGAGGCCCTATGTGTGTCTGATATTAAGCAGTCTGATTACCTCTCTGTCTGTCCCCTTAGGCACAAACAATTTAAAAAAAACCACTCTCTACAGGGTGTGTGTATATATTTTTAAACGGTTTTTTTATTTTTTATTTTTACTGTTTGTGGTGTTTGGATGCTCACTTGAATGACCTATTGCAGCTAAGTTTTTTGCATGTGCGGGTATTAAGAGGTCTAGTTCTGTTGGAAGCTCTCTATCGGGGATGAACAAGTCAAGCTGGTGATCACAGGTATATTACTATGTATAACATTTTAAGGGGGGGAAAAAAGTGATACTTTCCTTACTGCCTCATACTATTTTCAGTTCAGTCTAGTTCAACAATAGATGGAGCTATAACACAGGCTCATTAACTCTGAAAATACCTTGTTTAACTCCAAGGAAAGGAAGCTTTTTCTCTTGTGTAACACACTGTTCCGTTTCTTTTTGTATGCATGCATGAGAAACCTGAAAGCTTTTTCTCTCCAACCACCCTTTTTGTCTTTAAACTTTTCTCTTGGTGGCCCTTTAGATATGTCTCAAGGTTCAGGCTACTATCCTTGATTGGGTGACCAATATTGCTTCTAATGCAACTGACAAATTTTCTTAATCTTGTCTTTCCCTATTTAAATTTTCTTTAAATGAACAAAAATATCACATAAAGATACTACAGAACATTTGTGGGTAAGAGACCCCTTCAACAGGAGGCTTTTTCAGCTCCCTTTTTGTGTGTGAAAATAAGCTCAACATTTTCTCACATGACATGCATGGTCATGGCTAGGGTCACAGGCTCATCTTTGGAAGGGAGCCAGCACAGTAGTAATGTCAGCATCTTTTACCCTAACATGCATCTTTCCAGATTAGTCTTCAGTCAGTGAGGGCTGGGTGAAACAGAATCTAAAGATTGAGTAAACTGTAGTAGTAATAAAAAAAAGCCTGGGGCATAATTACCAAAAGCTCTGAAGATTTGCAAAATGGTGTGCAACACTTAAAAGAAAAAGGATGACAGTGGCATTTCCTTTCCTTTCATACTTTTCTTTTTAATCTTTTTTTTACTTCTGTCAGTCTTGATCAGTCTCCCCAAGCACAGTTGGCCCTATTTCCTAGCCTGCAGTCAGATAACTTCATTGTCTTGCTGTAAAGTCTGTTCTACTGCATTCCGCTGGCAGTACTTGTTTTGTCTTTATATTTACTTAACATCTACACTTACTTACTGTGTCCCAAATAAACTTGCTGTACATAAGATGCCAGTTTGGGAGCAAAGTATTCTTGAAAGTATATTTACTGTGGCATAGTGATTAATATGAAACATTTTCACCAAAACTGGAAAATCATTATTGTGCAGCCTGTACCTTTTTTATTTTATTTTTTTAAAAGAAGAATTTGTTGTGCGGGGGAAATGAGCTCACTCAGTGTTCATAAGCAATTATCTGAATACTGTACCTTGCATACAGTTTATCCAAATACAGTACCTAGTTAGGAACATAGGATCTCTTTGGTCATTGAGTCTAGTCCCCTACTACCGCAGACAACCCCCCCCCCCCACCTTACACTACTGTTGATAAATTTATCAAGCTGCATCTTAAAACTAGTTAAGTTGTTTGCTCCCACTACTCATATTGGAAAGCTGTTCCTGAACCTCATTCCTCTGATGGGTAGAAATCTTCTAATTTCCAGATGAAATTTATTCATGGCCAGTTTATATCCATTTGTTCTTATGCCAACATTGTCCTTTATAAATACACCAAGGGTAAACACCAAAGAGGGAGAAGAGCTATTTAAAGCTGTCTCCTCTCAGCCTTTAAGAGCTTGGTTTGTTTACTCTGGCAAATAGTCTCTTATAATAGGTTTTCCATTCCACATATCGTCCAAATAGCTCTTCTCTGCACCTGTTTTGACTGAATTCATCTTTCTTGACCATCGGTGTGAGACTTAAACATAGTATTCCAGATGAGGTCTAACCAGTTAGACTGCTCTAATTGTTCAGCTAAAAAAATCACAACTCTTTATAAGCCAAGTTGAGGATGACACTTTGGAGAACTTTTGTAGAAGAGAAAAGGGAGAACTGCTTTTTGTAACAGGACTTTTTTTTATTTATTTCTCCTCCCCCTCCCCTCGTAGACTGTTGCTGGCTATACTGTTCCTCCTGGCCATCAGGTTTGTGTCTCTCCCACTGTTAATCACAGACTTAAGGATTCTTGGATAGAAAGTTTAGAATTCAAACCTGACCGTTACCTCCAAGATAACCCTACAGCTGGAGAGAAGTTTGCATATGTGCCATTTGGTGCTGGTAAGTCAAATGATACAGTAAGAAATTGCATTAGGACTGAGGGGTTCTCAAACTTCATTGCACCATGATCCCCTTCTGACAACAGTTACTACATGACCCCAGAAGGGGGGTGGAGCGGGAGTCACAGCCTGAGTCCTGCCACCCCAGGTGGGGCTGGAGCTAGGGCTACAGTCCTGGGTCTCAGCAAGTCTAATGCTGGCTCTGGCAACCCCATTAAAATCGAGTTGTGACCCACTTTGGGGTCCTGACCCAGAGTTTGAGAACCACTGCATTAGGTCATTGATAAAATAGCAGCATGAAGATTTTTGCCAAGAAATAGAGCAGATTCTGTTCTGTAGATAGTATGAGATATTTGCTGCTGTGAAGGTAGGGTTGGATTTGAAATCAAAACAATGTACTAATCACATTAACCAGCAGTGCAGTTAAACACATACGTACATGCTTAAGTCCTACTGATGTCAATCAGTCTTAAGTATGCGCTTAAGTGCTTTGCTGAAGTGGTGCCATAACAGTTGTTTAAACACAGTGAAAGAAAGTAGTGTACATTTTAAAACAAATTGTTTAACTCTTATTTTAGCTCAAGATGCATTACGAAGTGCAATAACTATTCTCCTCTGTGGGTTTTCCTCTAGGCCGTCATCGCTGCATTGGAGAAAACTTTGCTTATGTTCAGATTAAGACTATTTGGTCTACTCTGCTTCGTTTATATGAATTTGATCTCATCGATGGATATTTTCCTACTGTAAACTATACAACCATGATTCACACACCTGATAACCCAGTTATCAGATACAAGAAGCGATCACACTAAGTTTTGGAGACAAAATTATTTCTGCATTTAAATTGTGAAAATTACTGTTTTTGAATAAGTTATGACACAATTAAATGGTTAATAGAAAAGCTGGTCCATTGGATGTGTAGTGTTATGAAAGTGAGGTTAATCTAGCCATAAAATGTGTAATTGTTGTATACGGCACAGTACTGTACATTCTAAATTAACCAGACATTTTATTATAAAAATACTGTCTTTTCTGCTTGTGTAACAATTTTAAGGTGGATGCTGCATATTGGTATAGGTGAATTCAACTGTTTGGTCAAATCTTGGGAGAAAGGTGAACATCTAATCTTTATTTACAAGGTTAAATTTTAATTGGTGCTTTAAAAAACCTACTTTCCTTGATTCAGCTACTTTAATGGGCAAGACTAAGCTCATGGACATCAGTGGGAACAGAATCTGTTCTCTGATGCTGGTGCGTATTTTAATGTGAACAAGTTGGAAAATGCTCACTTTGCAGACTTTCAGCCCTGTCTATATTTGCAGAAGTAAACACTTTTATATAAGGAACTATTCAGCACTTTCATGAATGAGCCAAAAATTGCCATGCGTTTTAATTTTGAAAACCTTAACATTTTCAATATTTTTCAAATGTGACAGGTGATTTAGGTGCTCATCTTGAGACAGTTTTTGAAGGGTCTGGATTTTCAAAAAGTGCTGAACCCTCTGAAAATTAGGCATCCAGAATAATTAGTCACACTTGGAAGTCTTGGTTTCAGTGCAAAGATTAGCAGTAGAACCTTACAAATCCAGAATTAATAGTTAAGAGTAAGCATATAAATTACACTTCTTAGATATATCTTTAACTGTGTTCATTGTTTATTAAAGAAAGAATGAAATAACTAGTGTGTACTACTGTATTAACTAGAGTAGTGTTGAGAATGATGTAGAGGGGAGAATGGGTACTGTATAGCAGTAATATATAACTTTTTTTTAGAAGTGCCTGCTGTTTGGGGGACAAAAATAGTCTCATCAATATTAAACCTTCTGCTGCCCTTTATTATTAAATCTTGGCAATGTGGGCAAAGACTGAAGCTGTCCACGAAGAGACAGTGAATTAATAAGATTCTTCTCCCATAATTCCACATGGCCTGTCCGAACTCTATTCACATGGGAATGAGTAACATTTATTTCAGGACTGTTATATGTTGTACTTGTGTGGTGGAAAATTTTTCATTAAAATTTATAAACTCTTTGTGAAATAGTTTCCTGTGCTCAAAACACTGTCCATACTTTCTATATTTTTCTAAAAGTAAGCTCTTTTTACTTACTGCTTTAAAACTTCCTTCTTGTGGAATTTTAATAAAGGAATGGATAAATGTGAACTTAAGCCAGTCTGATGCTGACAGTACACCGCTACTTCGATATAACACGACCCAATATAAAACGAATTCGGATATAACACGGTAAAGCAATGCTCCGGGGGGGGGGGGGGGGGGGGGGGGGG